TTGGTTCGGCAAAAAAAAAAATTGATTTGCAATTATTTTTCATACCTATTTTTAATAAAACTTTTTTTTTTTTTTGTAAATGTCTTGATATTTGTTAGCTTTTTTTATTATTTTTTTTTTTTTTTAATTTGTTGATGTCTTTTGATATTTTGTTATGCACTTTTTATTTCATTTCAACACCACTACACCTGCACTTTTGAAAACTTAAAATATTCATTGCACTCATCAGCTAGAGCAAATTTAAAATAAAAAAAAAAAGGGTCGGGAGTAATTCATTAAACCTGAATCTTGTATATCAAGTGGATGAGATTAATTTGTCTTTAAAACTTTTACAGTTGTTGTTTTTCTGCTGGTTTAATTATTTCAAAAAATAGATTTTTTGTTTTTTTTTTTTTTTTTTGTTTTGTTTTGTTTTTTTTTTTTTTGCTTTTTATTTTCTGATTAGATCTTGTAAATTTGTTCAATCCCAATTCTTCTTTTTGTTGTTTGATTTTGTTTTTTTTACTAGTAAACATAGATACTAAAACAAAGTACACCAAAAGTTTACATAATACAGACTAATGATTTTTAATTGATTCAATTTTTGACTTAGAAGAATTTTCTTGTTACAGTTAAATTCTTGTTTGCTTGTCAGAACTTAGTTTGGACATGATTGGATGAAACCTGAGAATTATTACGATGAAAAACAATATATTAAATAAGGCAATATGAATTGATTTTTGCTTAAATTTAATAAAAGGGAAGATGACTAAAACTACTTTAACCTAATAAAGCTTACATCAGCTGGTTGAAACCTGGACATTTTTTTTTTTTTTTTTTTTTTTTTTGATGGGAGTTGAATTCAATCTAATATTCTGATGAAGTATGGATTTTGGTATCTTCAGGTTTGTCAGAATGTATTTATATATTGGGAATTTATATTTTATCAACTGAATAAAGAGTTTTATTCAGCAAATGACAGGCAATTTCATATATACAAACTGAACTTTTTTTTCTTTTCTTCATTCTATGTATTTAACCTTACCTTAGTCTACTGCAAGGTTAGAAATGTGGGTGGTGTTCCCAGCAAGGATTGGGTCTGAGACAAGCACATTAACACTATGGTACATACTTTTCTGGCCCTTTCTTTCCCAGTAGATATTTAAATTCTTAAACAACTCCAAGATTATTTAGATATGAAGGGATTTAAAAAATTCAAAGAAAAGTACATGCCAAAACCCCACTTAGAGGCAACCCCATTGGTGATCCAAATTTTTGTTTATAAAAAAATTGTTAAATATGAAATAATATTGATTGGTGATAATACAGCAGATTTTTTTTATTTTAACTATTCAAGCAACCTGGTTGAAAAACTAAAAGGAATAAATATGACTGACAAACACATGGCAAGTTTAGATATTAAATCCCTTTACAGCAATGAGAAAATGCTTAAATCTTTTAAAACCTGTATCTGACCCAATCAAAAATAAATCTCTCCCTTCAAGTAGCAGAAATAATAATAATCTGCCGTCTCATCAGTGCTATTTTCACATTTAAAGGTTATTTTTATAAAAAAAATTTGGTTTACCAGTGGGGTCACCTCTAAGCAGGATTTTGGCATGTATGTTCTTAGAATTTCTTGAATCTGGTTCTTTCCAAAATATTTTACCTAAATAATCAACATATGAGTGGATGCAGAAAAGTTTGCAACCCCAACTCATTTCCAAAATGATCAGATCTTTTGAAAAGCTTTTTTAACATCTCACCTATGACAGTATTTTCTACATATGGCCTAGCACTTCTACGTATAATCAGTGTAGTATCTGTGCAGTGTGTGTATATATATATATATATATATATATTTATTTTAAATATTTTATGCATTTTTTTTATTTTTTTTTTAATTCCCTAAATGTTCACTCAATACTAAGAATCACATAGGTAAAAGTGTACTAAATGAGTTTGTATGAATGCAACAGGATGAAGTGCAGATTATGAGGATATGTAGGAAAGATAGTGGTTGGTCCTAAACTTTAAGAGATTAAGATTGTCATGGTAAGGGAAGCATCCTCTTGGGAGTCTGTTCCACAAAGTAGTTACTCTTGGTAAGAAGCTGTCCCAGTGGAACTTGCTTCTTACTAATGGAATACAAAGAGAATAAGGGTGGGGTTGCCTCTGTGTATAGACCAAGTCTTAGCCATAAAAGTCTGAACTGGTGGAACTAAGGAATATAGCTCATCAGAACATTTTACATGGAAATACTTATAGTTACAAGAGCCTTGAAACATTGCATGTCTAGGTTGTTAGGTGAGAAATAATTACTTACTCTCGTTAAGGCAGTGTAAACACCTTTGAACTTTGTCAGAGTTGGAAAATGTGAATTGGGCAGCTCCAAATCTGATATGACAGCAATACACCATTTTTAATCAGATCTAACTCTTGTAAAGTTAAAACATGGCAAGTAGAGTTAGGTACTGCCTGGAGTAGTACAAGAAGCTGTCCTTCTTTCCCATCGTCTTTAGGAGTTCCACTGGATATCTGGGGTGATCTTTAATTCCAATAGATGCTTGAAGAAAAGTCTTCATTACGAGTATGAGCATTCAAAGTGACTTGAATATAGGGTCAGCAGTTTGGTCCTGATATAAAGTTACTAGCTTGGTCGTTTTCTCCTCTCTGGCTGTTAGAGCTCAGTCAGATAAAAGGCACTGGTCATTTAGATTTTTGGACATTCACCTATACACTGTCGTATCACCTGCATAGATATTTCCTAATGTTCTTAGATCATTAATATAAAGCAGAAAGATGGTAGCACCAAGTTGTGAGCCTGGTTGGATGCCTGAATTGATCTGATAGGTTTCAAAAACATGGCTATTAACAATGACCCTCAAGAATGGTTGCCATAAAAGCAGGAAGTCTGTAATTATCCTAATAGAATGACATCTTTTATTTTAATTAATTTCAGATATTTTTTCTCTGTTGATTGCTACCTTGGTTTAATTGGAAGCCATCCTGATTCAAATCAAGGAAACACTTGAAGGAGCTCAAAAATGATGATTCCTTTCTGGTCTCGCTATATTCATATCCTTTCTTTTGGATGAAGAGAGACCTTTTTTCTTTTAACTTTAATTACATTGCTGTAAACTATCCACTTTTTATGGAAAATTTCTGATCGCTAGTATTAAGCAACGTTGAGTCTGAAGAGTACTTAGATGGGTAACTGCTTGGGAATACCAGGTACTGCAAGCTTTGGATGTACAATGGGTGTACAATGGCTTGGAATGAGAAATCGGAGAGCAGAGTTCAAATTCCAGTCAAGTTTGTTACATACACTTATGTGCAAATAACATTGGAAAAGGTATGAATTCAATTTTTCCCCCTTGGCTATGAGTTAAATAGCAAGAAAAGTTGGGTCCTATAGCCTTGGCTGGCAATAAGTCTACTGCAGAAAGTAACAATGGTAATTCTGCTAAGTCAATCATGATTCGAAGTGAAGCATGATCACCCATGGCCCTGTAAGGATGGAAATAGTGAATTACATCCAGAAATATAGTCCATAATCTTTACTTGTGAAAGCTGCACATCAAAGTGATTAATATAGCCAATCTTGTGCAAGTGTATTCAACATTTGGATGTTTAGAGTATGTTGGGCATCACCCACTTTCTATAATGTTGTTTATGCTGAAACCATGACTTCATTTGATTGCTATCAACCTCACTCTACCTGACTCTGAAAAGTATTGTTCAGTAGGAAATGTTTAGCATTAACTTTACAAACAACTGTTGAATTATTTACAGAACCTTCTCCATAACAAATATTTCTGTATTCAAGATGCATTTTTATCATTCTAAAAGAAAAAAAAAATACAGATGTTACTTTATTTTCTTCCCTTTTCAATGTTGGAATTGATAAATAAAACTCTACCAATTTTGAAAATTGAAATAAAAAGCACTATCTGGGTAAATGATACAATAAAGCAACCTTTTTGAGTGTAGTAAAAACTGAATTAGATCCTAATTCCATTTAATGATAAAAACAGAATGAACTTTTTAGTCACAGCAATATTTTTTTTTTCCTTATTCTTCTAAAATACTTGTATCAGTTCTTCATATCTGGTGATAATGCTCATAATTTTTCCCCAACTGGATCCAAATTAGAATGTTTACAAAAGACATTGATTTTCTTTTTTTTTTTTTTTTTTTTTGTAATGTTTAGAGTCTTGAAATGATTTCTTCTAAAGAGAAAAATTATGAACCAGAATATTTTAAATTTTATTTGGAACAAGAACAAAACACATTTGGACACAAACTTGCATTTCACAAGAATCAAAATATTTCTTTGAAGAACATTTAGATTCTCACTACGGTTCATAGAGAAATTAACTTTTCACATTCCTTTGTAATTTTGATATTGGAGCAAGATCTCTCTTGTCATTAACCAATGTATTCAAATATATGATGGCCATATTCTGGAGTTGGACAACATCAAATGAAACCATTAATAACTCTTGAATTGTGCCCCCAAAATGAACTAGGTGATCCAGTGTTAGTGACTAAATATGTCACTGTGTTATTAGCTACATTGTTTGTATCTTTCTATTTTATTTTTCATGTCCTCTTCTTGAGAACTTTAGAATTATGGAAATAATTTAGAAAAAAACATCTATAAAATGTTTCTTTATGTCTGTACTGTTGTCTTCTTTTCTGGTCGTGTGGCTTATTTTCTTCATGTGAGGGTCAGTCATCACAGCAGGAAGTCGTCTTCTGTCTATCCACTTTATTTAGCATTTCATCTTGCAGATTGAATCTCTGATCACACAACTATTTTATTTTCTACCTCATTTCTCCTTTTATCATTTCCTAATATTTCACTTCATCATTGGTGATGGTGGTGGTGTTCTGCTATTGATAAGTACAAATAGCAGAGGCAAATAATGGTGGTGGAATCCATGTCACTATTTGAATAAACTTGTTTGATTTCTCTTGCAAAGACAGTAAATCGAATAACTTGTGGTATCTTTCAGGCAACAATGTCCGCAGTGGAGAAGGTTGCTGCAAATGCAGCCTTTTCATCCTCCAGCTCAAGTAAGTTATATTTTCTCTAGTTGACTCCTATCCTCGCAGGTATTTTGAGTCATGGCACGTTGGTTGTTGTGATGATGGACTGGAGCTGTATTCTCTTGACCCACCAATCTTACCAAATAGCTTTTAAGCACCCTGCTTCTTTAATATAATCTTTCTTACCACTGCTTTTTGCTGGCTTGCCTTCTCAAAGGGATTTTTCCCCCCTTCTTTTTATACTACTTTAAACATCAATTTTTACTTTGGAATCTATGAATTATACACTAGTGTCCTAAGAAATTTCTTTTTATGTTCATGGTTTTTTACAACCTGTTTGGTTCTCAAATAAAGTTGTGCTTCACCATGACAAATCCTACTGTAAATATTTAGGACTTAAATCTTTATTGCTTGCATCTAGAATAACACGTGTTATTTAATCATTTTTGTGGTGATGGTGGTTGGGGATACTGAAGTGGGGGTGTAATCATTTGCTGCTTATTAATAAATTTTTTGGTAAGCACATCAAGAAATTAAAACTTTATTAAAAGTAATTCATCATATTGATATTTGTCTAATTTCCTATTTAATGTTTAATATAACCTGGTATAAGATGTTTTAAAAACTATACTGTCGCATAAATATGCGTAGACGTGCATAACACTTGTTTGGTGTAGAACTACTACTGAAAAATTTAAAAATAAAAATGTCATTTTCTTACAGCTAATGTATGTTCTTTTATCTATTGAAGTTTTAAGAGCAAAATAAGTCATTTGTCCAAAATTTCATATCTGACATGTAACTATATCTGTGTATTGAATAGAATGACTATTGTATGATACTAAACACTGTGACTAGCCTTATATCATTGGAACACTATGTTCCTTGTCAGCTGTAAATCATACCCAGAAGGTAGTGTCTTAGACTACCAAGTTGTATAAGTACATTGATATAAATGTTATGAGCTTGCCATTTTTGTTGAAGAGAGAGAGAGAAGGGAATTTAACTTTAGTGCTAGTGTCTTTAATAACTTACTAATAAAAATCACCCCATTGCATAGGATGAAATGCATTTTTCTTCAATCACTGCTTTTAACTGAAATATAAAACAAACTTTAAATCCTGATAGCAAGACATTTTAGCATGCAACTCATTTTTTAGTGTCTTCTATCAAAACCTTGTGTAAAGTTTCATATTTACTATTCCAGAATTATGGTGGCAACATTGCCCTTTTCACACAAATACTTTCACTCTTCAAAAGCAACATGAAGTAGACAATGACCGTTTTCCTTACCTTCCTTTATAACTTGAACATTTACCACTCTGCATTATTCATTGGCATTTTACTTTCTCTGCATTACTTCCCCTTGTGCTATAGGTGGTGGCTCATCAACTGATTTTGTTGATTTCAGTCAAAGGGTATTTTTTTTCTGTTGTCATTACAAGACTTGACCATATGCTCATGAAATTCAAGCATTATGGTCTTCAAAGTTGCTGGTGATGACAACAGGCCAAATATTTTGCTTGCCTAACAAAGTTGCCTGCAGATTGTTAAAAGATTGAGCTAGTTGAAAGTAATTAAAATGTGAAAAAGTTTTTGGTTCTTCTAAAATAAATTCTAACTTTTGATCATTTGCAGAAGAAACAGAACTTTTCAGCACTTGGTACATTCATTACCCCATATACCTCCTTTCCCACCCATCTCATACCTGGTGTATAGTTTTCAATGACATATTTTGGGATCAATGATTTTCTTGTTAGTTCATGCCCTAAATCTAATTTTTTAATTCCTTTCAAATCAAGAACTGCAAAAGATTTTCATCAAAGCAAAGTGAATTTCTATTTATGGAGTTACGACAAAGTTACATTCTTGAATACCTTTCCCATACGTAAGTTTTAAATTGGGCACCTCGAGGCAGTGTAATGGTTAGCAAGCTTGTCTTGCTAGAACAATTATGAGTGAGTTCAATCCTCACTGGGTGTCCCATACTTTTGGCCTTGTGCCACATCTAAGCTACGCTTGGAAAATCACTATATAAGTTATAAATTCCAGCTTTTGACAGATTCAGCTATTGTTTCCAAGAAATTGAGAAAGAGAAAATCTAAGAAATTTATATAATCTCATTTATAAGTTAAATTCCCCTCTAGGGGAGTGCCATGATGACATACAGAACAAAGTTCTATACCTAATAGCAGAGCAAATATATTATTTACAATATGGTAGTGTCACAGTGGTAGGCTGTGACAAGTTTTATACACATAATCATCAGGTGACTGGTGACAGCCTTCTGATGTTATGGGCATTTATTTCTCTTTGGCTAAACCAAGATATGTTATACTACAAGTGCTTTGTATATATACACAACCATTATCACCTAACAGCAAAAGATGACACAGCTTTTTTTTTTGGGGGGTTCTAAAAGTGAAGAAAAATATGCATATTAAAGATTTTTCTACTGTTGACCAGTAGTTGCCATTTGTAAATGATATTTTACAACAATATTATTTCAAATGATAATCTTTAAACTTCATGACCTCTTTGTAAACATGCCAAGATGCACTGCAATGAAATCTGTCATACTTTTCAGAATGATAGAATTGATAGAAAAAAATTATAAATTTGTTTACAATGTTTGTGAAATTTCAAAAGAATATTTGATGCAATTTACTTGGGTTGGTGAATAAGTTCAATCATGTGAATGTGGAAATTGGCTCAATTTGCTACATAGTTTATAAATTTCTTTTAAAATATTGTAAAACATCTAAGTTTCATGAAAACTAGTTAAAACTGGCCAAATTATTGTTTGGCAATCTGTGCAACTCTCAAAATGTTTAAAAACATTTAAATATTAAGAGAAAACCTTGATGGAGATGATATTTTTTGTTCCTTTTTGTAACAGTGTTCATGAACCAAAATAGCAACAAGAGATTATCTTAAATCTTTAAGATAATCTCTTGTTGCTATTTTGGTTATTCACTAAGCACAGTTTAATTTTGACACAAAATCATAAGTATGGTTCATCCATTGAACTCATTCTGGTCTGCAACACCAGCTTGTTAACCATTACATAATAAGGGGCTTAATCTCTCAGTATTTATAAACTGTTTGCCAATTTTATTGTGTTGATTTAAAAGGTTCTTTTTTGCTACTTTGCTCTCCTAATTAATACCTTCTTTTATCAAAGGAATTTTGCTCTGTTGATAAATATAATTTAGCTATGATAATTTTCAACATACATACACATTTATAAAGCAGAAATATGTTCTTGCTAAGAATATCACATGACTTGAAAAATATTTAATGAGCAGGTATTAATGCTATTGTTTCAATTTATTGCCTATTAAGTCAAGAATATAATACATTGCATTCATCTTAAAGCAATCTGTATTAAGGTTAAATATTGTTCAAATCATGAATTTTCTCAAACTTAACCTGAGTAAATTGATGAAAAAAATGATGAAAAAGCTTTTTCAACATAATCTCTTTCCTTGCCAATGCACACAACACTTTTCCATTAATCTCATTATACATTAGAAATTTAAAATTAAAATTCAGCCACTGTCAAGCTACAGATTTATTGATCTGTCTGCATTTTTCTTTTTATTTATAGCCAGTTTATTAACCCAAATATAAAATATGAATTTTGAACTGTTTTTCTTTGAGTTATGCAAAACATTTCACCTGGCTATAAAATGAAGAAAAATAGATAATTCCGGGCTTTATTAGATTTTGTTTTTATTTACTATTATTAAACGTTGATTCATACTTAATTTTCCACTTTTTCTGATAGTAAAAGATATTTGAATTGTTTTTTCAGATTCAATCCAAAATTTAGTTAAAACTTTCTATTCACTAACAAAATGTTTGCACTACAATTTAGATTTGCTGGTTTTGTTATATATATATATATATAATTTCATTAATGTTTGTCAGGCTCATTGCAATCTTTAACAAAATATACTGTTGGCATAACTTAGATGCTAAAATGATTCCTTTAATCTAACTTAGGTACCTCCATGAGATCGCTAAAAAACGAGTATAACATGATGAAAAAGACGCCAAACTTGACGAAAACAATTTTATTATCTAAATGTTTGTCATTAAGAGGAAAGATCAAAGTATTTTTTGGGGGTGTTTTTGTTTTTTTGTTTTTTTTTTGTTTGTTTTTTTGTTTTTTTTTACATTTTTTTTTTTTTCCGAAATTTTTTTTCTTTTTAGTCAGCAAAATTTACAGATAATCGGTCATGGCAACCTTTTTTATTCCATTTTATAAAAAAAAAAAAAATGAAAATATCAGTTTGAAATTCTTTTAAAAATCAATTATCATTTTTTCAAAACTTATTTTAAGAAAATCAGAAATTATAATGTTTATTTAAAATATTTTGAACCAAGCTTAACTTAGCTTGTGCGCCGAAAAGATGTAATTTGAAAATAAAACAAAGCCGGTTATAAACTTTCACGTCACTTAACAGGTGATGAATGACATATTGATGATTACATGTGGATAATTTGTTCTACGGAAGGAGAAAAGTGAAATTATTTAGATTTAAGTGAACAAATTATTTACCTCATTATTTTTAAGGAAAACTTTCAGTGCTCTAATTTTTTTTGTTTTTTGTACTTAGCTTTCATCTTTACGTTTATGATGCTTTATAGAAAATGTATTATAAAAAAAATTAAGATAAGAGTGAGATTAAATTTCATAAGAAAGGTATCTAATTAACTTATAGATACCTTTCTTATGAAATTTTATCAGAAGTGTACATAAAATACTTTAAGTTTACGTACATTTATTATATTTTACTGTGTTACTTGGATTTCCATTCATTTTATTATTATTTTTCATATTTCATTTATGAAAAAAAAATGTCATAACTGAGACTAATATAAATTTCATAAGATGATACTGATACTTGTAGGTACCCTTCTCAGTTGAAATTAAAAAATAAAATTAACTTCTCCACACTTGTTTCACAAAAGTAAAGGCCTTAACAGCGGAGAACAATGCTTAACTCAAATAACGGAAC